CAAAACCTTCCTGAAAGTTTACCAGCCCAAGATACAAAAGCCTCAACCACAAGTTACCTGGATGATTGGTGGTATCATAAAAAGATAAATGCATCTTTTTCAAGCTATTATTGCAAGCAAAGAATATTTTACACAGCAGGGACACTCTGAGGAGGTTCCTCACAGCCCTACTCCCTGCACAGGACTCCCAGTTATACAGGCATGCACTCAGACCCTGGGTGGAGTAAAGCTTCAAAGCTTCCTCAAAAATGACATCAAATTATCACTCAAGTGGATATGCTAATGCTGCAGATCTTAACAGACCATCCCAAATTAAGAGAATCACAGCTTTACACTAGCAGTAACACAAGCACTATCAGAGCATGTACAGTTTGATGTCAACTACTGAAGTCAGGACAATTTGACACAAGGCAAACAAAATCTAATTCTATTGTCTGAATGAAAACTTCTAAGCATAATTCAGCTATGGAAAGCTAGTGATTTAGCAACTGTTTTAAGAATGTAAATGTTATTATGCCCTGAGGAATGACAGCTATTCACTAAAATTACACTTCTGTATCTACCTTTCCTTAAAAAGCTGTTCAAATGCCCTTAAGCTGTCTGGAAGAGAATGCTGCATGCACAGTGTTATTCTCAGCAGCTTATGTCATATGTTCAGATATTTGGCATTTATTCACACCACCACCCCCCTGCATGCAGTCCCTGCCAAATAAACAGTGCCAGGACCACACTAGAGACATTTACAGTGGCTGGCCAGTCTCAAAAGACATTCGCAATTGTACCAAACACTGTAATTTCAGTGTTGTGAATGTACCGAACAGAGGAGCAACACAAAGAATTAAAACATGATGCTGTAATTTTCTAAACCAATACAAACGCCATTGGCTCCCTCTGGTGCTAAATGTAATGTAGTGTTGCATACTAAACCATCAGAGAAGTAAGGCAATTATATAATCCAATTATTTTGTACAGTAGGTGACAGACATTCTAGTAATAAGTGTTAGAACAGCAGATTTCCTCTTACAGACATAATCCTTAAGTCCTTATTCACAGCCTGTACCAACAGCTTTTATGTGGAGAAAACACGACACACACCTTTAAGAAGTGCCATTGTGATCCTGTGCACACACACATGCCAGGCTCCCTTCCTCATGCCACGTTTTTGCTTCCTAAAAGTACGGTCTCCATCCCATTTTTTAAGAGCAGACTTAAAAGCCAGTTTCAGGCTCTAATTCATTACATTGGCAGTGATTCCTAGAGTAGTTTTAAAAAGCAAACCAAAACCACTTTTAAACCCACCCATTTATACTACTCTATTCATTTATACTTAAAAATATGCATTTTTTACGCCGAACAGACTACACAAATCAATTTTAACTAATCTATTACTAAATCTGCTGCTCAACACAGTGGATAGAATAAAAATCAAGCCACTTGCTCTATTCACAGACGCAAGTGGATGTTTGGGTTTTTAAAAATTCTATTCACAGCTTTGAATTTCCAGTGACACACCAAAGCATCCAAGTATGATGATTTACATTGTAAGCACTATTCCTTGAATCATTTTTAGCAACTATTTGAAACTTGCTTGCAGCTATTCCAAAGTGTTAGATTTCCGATGCAAAACAAGGAAGTTTAATAATCTAAGCCGGAAGGGCTGGGTTTTTCTTGCCTTTTTATCATTGTGTGGAAAGAAGAGAAGCAGGAAGCAGGTTTCTCTTTCCTCCTCCTGCCCCTCCTCCCTTTTTTAACAAGATAAAGGTAGAACAGCTTAAGGATACTGCCCTGTACAGAGCCTCCATTTCCTACTTATCAACAGATTTAAGCATCACTATGCAGAACAAGGCGTGTGGTGCGAAGCGACGTTTGTCTCCTCCACCTCCTGGATTAGCAGAGCCCCAGTGCAATTCCCAACAGAAGAGAGTTTAACTTAAACTGGGTAATGACCCTGTGGTTGAAAGGGAGGCTGGTGATCAAGGGCAAGAGAAGGGTGTTCTCGGTGTGCTTCTTTTCATCCAGCTGTTCCTTGTACCTGTCAGCAACAAACAGCTGGGTCTGGAGCACCAAGTCAGCTGCTATCCTGCTCCTCCGGCTTCCAGACAGCAAGAGGTTAACTCGCCTCTCCCAAGCTTCTGTCCCCCCAGAATCAAACAAGTCTTGCTGGCATCCTCCAGTTACCAGTCGGTAAATTCAGCATGAGACATGACTTAAGGAGACCACACATTTTAAACCTCCGTGAGAACCACAGGCAGGAAGGGCCCTCTCAGCAGACACCTACTACCAAACCTCAGTGTCCTGGTTTCGACAGGAAAAAGAATTCCTGTTGAAAAGAATTCCTCCTCCACCTCCTGAAAGCATAAATTCTGTAAGGTAACTACCACCATCTTGAATCCTAATTAACCATACTTTAGCAAACTTTATATATTTATTTTAGGTCACTATTCCCAAATGAATTCAGATTCTGAAAAGATGTTTAAAGTAAGCTCAGGAAGACCAGGAGCTGGAAGACTTAGGTTTACTCATAAACATCATCTTGACTCTCAGTGCAAGGCCTTGTGTCCCCATGTGTTAAATATGGATAATATCAAATTTTCGCTTAGTGCTGCTTAGTGTCTTGAAGAAAGGTATTATTCACACTTAAGGCTTATTAATACCCCATCTAATAAGAAATATAACACTTGTGCTTTATAATGGAGTTCTATTTCTAGGATTTTGGACAGCGGCTATGCGCCATTTTCTCCATGAGTGAAAACAAAAGTGTTTTTATTTGTCATAGAAAGCACTACCTCTTCCTAAAAAAAGGAAAAAAACAATCTGTTGTAAAATCTTTCTAAGTATGCAACATCACTTTGTACTAATTTTAAATAATACAAACCATCTATTTTAAATAATCATTTCATTTTAAAAATAACAGCTTTTAAGGCAAATATTTTGCCCAATTTTCAAGAAAGAGCCTTTTCTGTGATGTATTATTATACTGCATTATTATAATTTACAACACGCCTAACACCAAGTGTCTACTTAAAGGAAATGACTGTAACATCACTAAGTGGTCTTTGTTTCACTTCAATAGCTTCCAGAGTGTATTTTGCCTTTTCAGCTGAATGAAAAGGAATCATCTCAACCGACTTCTAGTCAGAAATCCAGAAAGAACTGCATTCACTACTGTTAAGTCACACGAAAGTATGACTTATACAAAAAAACGAACTAGCACACTGCCATTGGATATCAAGAAATAGTTTTTCTTCCTCAACACGGACAGTAACGTTAGCAGACAACTAGGTTACAAACTGTCACTTCAGAAACTTCACCCTTCACTGTAAACACATTTCCTGTGTGAGAAGAGTAACATGAACTGCCTTTTTAGTTGCCATTGTGTAACAAGCATCCACGTAGAGTGCAGAGGACGATATGCTCAGCAGAGGCACCAAAGACCACCCCTAGCCATCATGGGCAACGTACCTACAAATGCTGCTGACAGCTTGGGCCCTGAGAGGTGGGCTGCAGGTTATACAGCATTACTACTGATACAGCAAGCCTGAAAAAAACCACTGTAATTTAGACAGCCTTTGAGCAGCTGATCAAAAGGCTCTGACAGAGGAGATCTATACAACAGTTAAGGATGTGTCCATTTTAACTGCTTATCCCCTTGGGAGATCACCACCTCTGCAGGAGAGCTGGCAGGGTGGGATGGTGTGCCCACGCCTCAGCCCCTGCAGTTCGTAACTTTGCATACCATCTTCAGCTGCAGAGGCAGATAAACGCACACTAATATGCCACATCAAACTGGGGAAGCTGATGCCAACCTTCATCACTACAATGCCAGCAGAGGTACTGGCCAGATTGCTAGGGGACAAAAACACCTTAAACCGCTGCAATTCCTTGCTCTGTTGCAATAGAGGAAGGAACAGATCTTGCACAAGCATAATTCTCCTGGTCCCAAAGTAAATTATGCCCAAGTTGTCTATCTCCACCCATTAAAAGAGAGGAACTGCTAGATGAAATATAAAAACATTCATAATGGATGCCTGACATTCCTGTGATCAACACACACCTGCTTTACACAGTTCTCCTCATGCTGTGGAGCAAACTATCAATAAGAGGGCACAACTATTTCAAGATCAGAACAACCACTCCTCTTTCAGCCACGAGCCAAGAGTTTATTATTAAAACACAGACTACGCCAAATGATAATTATGTCAAATATAAAAATGTCTGTCTTAAATGTCCTACATCCAAACTCTGCAGCTCCTGATGACATCTGCTAATTTAGTGTAAGCTTCATTAAGCTCAAGTCCTTTATTAAAAGCACATTTTCCTTGTTAAGGCTTTATTTTATCCAAACAAGAACTCCAGAAATTACTTCAGATATACTAGCAACTTAACAGCAGTGAGTTGCTGCCAAGGCCCATTTCAGATTGATAGCAATTTTAATAAGAAGCTATGTATTTACTGACATATAGATCCTGGATTTAATATTTTATTATCTGAATAATTTGTATGAGCATTTGAATAGAATTTTACCACTGAATGTTACTGCAAAGGCCAATTTATCAAAGCTTTATCAACTGGCTTCAAATATATTGCATTTCTGTACTTGTCATGGAAAAGAAAATTGGTGCAATGCAGTTTACCAATTTTCATCTTGCAAGTCACTTCCAAGACCTGTACAAGCAGAAAGATGTCTGATACAAATCCCCAGACTGGTAAGAAGCTAAAATGGGGAAGCTGACAGCAGAACTGGCTGTTGGTCTCACTCTCCCTTTTCCATTGCAGAGGCATTAAACCCATAAGTCACTTTCCAAGTCCGTAAAAGACTTTCAGCCAGCAGCCAGTCTTCTCTCCTAGCAAAGATTATCTCCCACATATTTGTGCATAAATGTTTGCTGCACTGGAACCTAACAACTTTACTGAGTAAGCAGCTCTCCTGAAAGTCAGTTTCTACATCATAGCTTTTACATCATCTAATCTAGTCAATGCAGCAGGACCAAGTTACTCACCGATCGATCACAATCTCTTTCTGTCTTAGCAGCCCCTCTTTAATTTTCATTAGAGATTCCCAGTTGCTGAAGTCCTGATAGCTGGTAGCTGGGTAACTTTGACGAGATGTTCCAGTAGGAACCTGCATAAAATAATTGTAGAATTAGCCTCCAAAACAGTAAAGGTAAATAATATCCTAGATATTAGGGCATTTACAAAGCGGTTTGTTGTTTCAGAAACCTAACAGTTGTTTTTCAGTTTAATTCAGATTTGTTTTACATAAAACAATTGGATTTATAAACAAGTTTCTTAAAACAAACTTCAGTCCAGTGCCAGTGATTTAAATCATTTCTCTACTAAAGAATTCATAGCTGTGAAAGCAGTTTGAGATGAAAAGCTCATTTAGAATTTCATAGAATCATAGAATAGTTTGGGTTGGAAGGGACCTTTAAAGGTCATCTAGTCCAACCCCCCTGCCGTGGGCAGGGACATCTTCAGCTAGATCAGGTTGCTCAGAGCCCCGGCCAACCTGACCTTGACCATTTCCAGGGATGGGGCATCCACCACCTCTCTGGGCAACCTGTGCCAGTGTTTCACCACCCTCAGCGTAAAAAATTTCTTCCTTATATCTAGTCTCAATCTACCCCACCTGTAGTTTAAAGCCATTCCCCCTTGTCCTGTCGCAACAGGCCCTGCTCAAAAGTTTGCTGCCATCTTTTTTAGAAGCCCCCTTTAAGTCCTGAGAGGCTGCAAGAAGGTCTCCCCAAAGCCTTCTCTTCTCTAGGCTGAACAACCCCAACTCTCTCACAGCCTTTCTGCAGAGGAGAGGTGTTCCATCCCCCTGATCATTTTCATGGCCCTCCTCTGGACCCGCTCCAACAGGTCCGTGTCTTTCTTCTGCTGAGGGCTCCAGAGCTGGACGCAGTACTCCAGGTGGGGTCTCACCAGAGCAGAGTCGAGGGGCAGAATCACCTCCCTCGACCTGCTGGCCACGCTTCTTTGGATGCAGCCCAGCACACGATAGGCCTTTAAGTACATAACTAAGACAAACACCACAAAATGTTCATATCCTGCTGCAATTCTTGTAGCACTACAAACGAGATAGATTGATGGCTTTAGGCCTGCTAGTAACTGCAGGTAACAGTTACCATTCACTTGTTCAACTCCCACCTGTAACTTTAGCATATAGAAAAAGAGAAATTCCCCTAGATGTGTGCATTTAAAATACAGAATATGGGAATATAATTCTGGTTAAATTCTAACTGTTTCCAAAAATAAAAGTTTCACAAGTAACAGGTTTCAGGCTTTCCATTCATCTTCACAAAAGCCAGGCTGTGTGTCTCACAACAAACTGAGGACAACAGTTGAACTGAATATGAACCAACATCATCATGGTTTGGAAGAGAAGTAACCAACTAACTGGGATGTTTAATCAAGAAAATTTTTATACTCAGAATATAAAAAGCATGGCAAATATTTGTATCAGGAATTCACATAAGGAAAGGTTTAAGTTAGAACTTCTGTGATTAGACTGAGGGATCCCAGCATTGGCTGCCATGAGATATCTAATCTTCTACCAGTTTTTTTAATCACTGAAAAGAAGACTTCTCTTTTTATTATCTGGGAGACATCCTGAACTATGTTGCTTTTTTATGTTTTTGGAAGAGAGCAGAAGGAAAAAAGTGAAAATATGGCTAGGGTTTTTTTTTTTAGTTTAAATAAATTTTAGGATATTTTTACTGGTATTGCTCTAAAATGTTTTAAATTTCATTTGAAATTACAATAAACTGTATTAAGACCAAGACATATCATCAACAATTAAAGTTAGGTAAACAACTGTCAAGCAGTCCACGCTTCTGGTCAAAGCTTTACTGTGAATTATAACACTGAATGGAGAGAATTCATTGCCTAAACCCTCATACCATGATGTGCTGAAGTCAGGAACCAACTCCTGACAGCTGTGGTCTCTTCTGTAAGTTGAAAAAGTATTTTTTTCCTTCCAGTCTAGTTCAGTTCAATCCCCAGCTTGCCCATTGATAAAATGGACGGAAACACATTTTCCCTCTTTTAATTTATAACTTAAAACCAGATATAAGATGACAAGACTTACTAGTTCTAAAATCCTTCAAGATTGTCTCACCCCCCACACACACACCAAGTCCAATTCATTTGCATCAGGGAATATTTCCTTTGCTTAACAAACTAGATAGCTTCAATAGTAAAATTAGTTATGAATGATTTAGAAAAAAAAGAAAATATCTACAATTCTACACATTAAACACTTCATGCCAATTTCTGGCCCAAGACACACTGAAAATGTTGACTGTGTTCCTTGCCAGACAATATCGAGTATTGTATCTTTACTGAAAAGGCCATATTGACTAGATAAATAGTGTTTTTTGAGGAAAAGTAAAGTGTGAAATATTAAAATCAAATAGTCTCTTAAAATGGTTCACTGATTTATGACCATGGTTAATATTTCTTATCCCATGCTCATTCATGATTACATCCCACAAGCAATAAAAAGCACAGAAAACATTTGAAAATACTCTCAATTGTTGCGCTTAAGAAAACCGCCTCATACAACTGCTTACTGAAGGATATTCTAGGTTTCAAAGTTTTGTGGGAATAAAATTTGTCACATCAGCAATTTCTAGTAAATCAGTCCATTAAACCTATGCTTGTTCAAGAAGATTGTATTAAAGATGGCACTGCACCCTACTGGGAGGCAAGGAATGGCAAAGCTAAGTGCTCCTTGGATTAAGATTTGTTAACATTTGTGATCGATTTGACAGTTGTCTTGCTCCATTTTTCATCCACAGTGATCAATATTAGCATTAAAAAAATCCTAAATTGGTGATATCACCTTGGCTTTTTTTGGTTTGGGCAGCAGTCTAATAAAACTAAGGAAAGATACCAAGTCATGATTCTTCCTGTAAGTAATACATGTGCAGAGTCTTTAAGGATCAATTAATCTAAAATTAATTTTGCCCGGGTTGCTCAATCCAAACCAGATAACTTCAAAGTTGTCTTTGGTGTTTACAGAATACCTTAGCATTGTCACATATTGTTCTGTATTACCGTTATCCCCATGACTGACTGAATTAACAGGCAGCAGCACAAAACTGTTTCAGTGAAAGTCTCTCTTAGTCACACATGCCATGTCATGCAGTATAAAGTGACATCAGGAACTATCACTGTACTTTGTGTCATGAAATTTTTTCCTTTGCTTCTCCCACTATAGCGCTGAATAATACTTTTCTATACCCACCTCAATACCATTACGCTACAGTCAAAAAAGAGAAAGAGACAGTCCTTAATGCAGTTGGGATTAGATCCTTACTTTTCAGAGCCAGAAATTCCATCTCTACCCGAAAGAAACAACCCACAAGGGTTTGACATGATAAACAGGAAATATATGGCTTTATAAAGCCAAATCAACCCATTTATTGAGCAAGGTGAATTTTGTCTTTAAGACTGAACTATAAAAATGAAGAGATTAAAGACAACTATTTAAATATGAACCCATCTTAGCTGAAAACATTTTGGAAGCCACCAGTGGTTTCTCTAGCAAAATTCTTCAAAGCAAGCCCATTACTTCAATCTAGCACCTTTGCAAACTTAATAGTTTGCACTAAAATTAGAAAGAAACCTTTCAACTTTGGTACAATAAGTGACTATACAAGAAGTTAATTAAATATTAAGGCTACTGAAAAGCAAGGCAATGAGTTTTGCAAAGTTAAGAACATAGTAATATTTTGTCAATTAGATACTAACAATAGTGTGTTTTTTTAAAAAAATCTAATATATAAGGCCTTCTTAGCTGCTGGACAGAATGACAAGACATTTCACTCGTTTGAGCACATGGTGTTGACCTCCAAACAGCTTTCTAGCTGCTTTGAATGGTGAGGTAACACACAGGTGGTCCACTTATATTGGAGTATTTTGTCTCTTAAGGACATCAAACTAAATAGTGAGAGCAAGATACACTTTCAGGACTCATATACAGAAAGCCATCCACAACTCCAAGTCCTCAACTTGAATCCTCCACAACTACAAAATAAAGTACCAGGTTGAAACACACAGCATTCTTTTCCATCTGCCCTGGAAAATACAACTATTTTTGTCGCCTGGCACCTCTTCCAAGAGTATCAGCTGTGGACTGAGAAGATCTGTTCAGTTAAAACAGTATCCTTTGCACAGTGGCATCCAAAGGTCCTCACTAGCTTGTTTTCTGACAAGGGCTTGGCCTTGACTTTCACGACCTGGCAAGCCTTCAAGTCACTGCTGAGGCACAGCTAGCTGCTGGGGCGGGGGGGCCGGAATCTTTGCTGTACTAGCCTATATGCAAATATTTATTGCTGGAACACACATTGCTGACTAATTCCATCATGTTTCTTAACAGTGGGAAAATAATTTTTCTCTGGACTAGAGGGTAACAACATTTGGATAACTTAGGCCAATAGCAGCTAGGTTTTTAATTGTGCTAATTAAAATTATCTTCTCCACACATGCTCATAGTTTCTGCCTGAAGCAGTTCACTGTCTCAGCACACAGGGTAGCCCACCATTCCACGTAACACGCTGTATCGCAAAGTAAAGGTGGAGTCCAAAAATGTCAAAATGCCAAAAAAAGCAATGGATTTTGAAGGGTTTTTTTTCCTGTAAGTTGCGGTTTAAAAAATTTAGTGCTGTCTATACTACAACTGTAAAGTTTTCACAGCCCACTACTAACAGCTAACAGAGCGCCAAAAGTTATGCTAAGTGAATGACCCCTTTTGGCCAACTGCTTGCACTGCCCTACGCTATCAGAACACCCCCCCTGTAGGTATCATTCTTCTCTCCCTGCATTTTACAGGAATTCATTATTCAGCAGAAAGAATTCCTTGCATCTACAGCTAATCCAAAGCAAAGAATG